GTTAGCCAAATCCCAGACATGGGAGCCATGCTGGGATTGAGGAGGGGCTCAGGTCCCTCTGGTTTTGGGAAATGAGGATCCCTTTCCAGAATGCAACGCCAGCCACCTTGCAAGGCACTGCTCTCATTTTGGCTAAAGCCTGTTGGGTTTTCAGAAGAGACTGCAGCAGATGGCTCAGGGCTGGTTACGTCTAATTTGCTAATGAGAAGGCATGATGAGCAGCTGACCAACCAAACACCCATGAAACTCTGATTCAGACTGATCCAACAATTCAATAAATAACTCCTTGCCTTGGAGGAGAAGGCAGGAAACAGATACGGAAGGAAGAAGGGATGGTTGGAAGAACACTGTCCCCCCCCCATTCCTTCCTCCAATGTACACACACGCACACACACATGGCAAATAAAATAAGGGGTTTAAAAAGTTTTAGGATGGGTTTGGATTTATCTAGTAAAGGAGGTGTAAAAAATGACCAGCCAGCACCTTGTACACTTTTAAAGTACACACAGGTAAAGCTGGGTAAAGGTCAGTTGTGACTGTGCCTCTCTCCCCAGCTGCTCAAGGGTGGCACTGGTATGCAGGGACACAAGCCTAGTGGCCCTTGCCGGCACTGAGTCAGTCTTGAGCTCTTCTGTCCTTGCCTAGAAAAGGAACGTCCCTCCCTCCCTCCCCCGGAAGGCAGCAGAGTTAGCGATGTATAGCAGCGGTTGGGGTCCTGAGTAGGGCACGCGAGCTACGTCCTAGCAGCTGTATGCCGTCCCCTTGGGTCCTCTCAGCCTTGTGACAGAGCCCAACCAGCCCTGGCACTCGAGGGAGGGGACTGTTCAAAATAAATAGGGCACCAGTTATTATTTTGGCTACGGCTCTAGAGCTTTGTGATGTGGGAATGTTTTCTTAACCTTTTAGTTTAGGCCAGTAAAACTCAAAGAACTCTGATTGATGTCAGAGATTTCTCCTGAAGTTAAAAATGGGACAAAAAGGGGACAAGAGCGGGCAGGCAGGCAGGGAGGGACAGGCAGGCCCAGTCCCCTTCCTGGCAGAAGTCAGAGGCACGTGGAACTGTCACAGTTAAGAGCGGGAGAAGGGACAGGGTGTAGTTAGTGCAAGTTTTCCCACAAACACGCAACTCCTTGGCTTGCTTCTCAGTTAAGGACAAGAACACGCAATGGGGTAACGTATCTGAAAAGCAAATCCATCTTCTCCCCGCCTCGTTAGCAAGGCTTCATGGAAGGTACGGTCATGCTCCACCGCAGCCTCGGGAACGGGAGCACTTTGGTCAGACTCCCCCATTCTGGGCTGAGGGCTGGCACCTCCCCAGGGCAGCAGCTCCAGTGCCTGGGGAGGGAGCAGGGGGAGAGGCGAGCCAGCTGTGGTGAGGCCAGGGCAGCTGGGCGAGCACATCCCTCCTGCTGCTGGGGTTCCCCTGCTCTAGCTTTTCTCCTTGGGTGACTTGCTCTTGGAGTCATGTTTGTTGCTCAGCAGTTTAAACACCTTCATGGGCTTGAATTTGCCTTTCTTCTTGGTCTCGGTCTCCATCTCCTTGTGAAATTCTGGGGTTGCAAAGGGAGGGTTACTGCAGGATGTTGATGGTTGTACACACACACACACTTGACAACAGGGGCAAGGGTGAGACCCACGAATCAAAGCCCTCCATTGTATGCACGCTTTTTTCTCTGATAACGGGGGGTAACAGCACAACTGTGCCCCAAACTTTAACAGCCTGACAGAAAAGTCTCCTGAGTCTACACAGCACAGCTTCAATCTCTCCTGCACACAATTTCACGAATGACTTGTGCTGCCCCTTGCTGGGGTCAGCAGTGAAAACATCACTCCAAAATCTTCCCAATTGTTTCTTACCTTTCCTTTTAATCATGGCTTCCAACATTTTATCCTCCTCCTCTTCTCTGTAAGAAAGAATGGGAAAGAGGTCAGCAATTCAGCCCTGAAAACAGCTGCTGTATTGTTTAAGGCTAGAGAACCTCCAACTTAGAAGCCATACAAGGGCAGATCCATCACTGTCTTGTGAGCATTTGCTACCAGCAGGATAAATCCCACATGCTGCATGTACTGTCCTGCCTTTCCCACACAAAGCATTCAAAGAGACAAGGACTGCGAAGCCTGGGAAAGACATCAGCAACATGGACATCTTGGCACACCCCCACAAGCAACTCATGTTGTGCTGCGTCAGATGGGCATTACTTTTCCCCTTCCCCCTAGCCCACCCCACTCCTTACTCACCTCTGCCGGTCCTCGTCCAGGCAGTTCACAATGGCATTCCTCTGCTCAATGATGGTCACCAGCTCCTTCATCAGCACCTTCTCCCTCCCTCGGTCCTCGTCAGTCCAGTCCTTCTCTACCCAGCCCAACCCCAAGGAAAGACAGGCAATTACACAGCTGAAGGAGCACTGAAATTCAGAGCTTTGGGGCAGAGATACCCAGCATGATCCCCTCTACCCTGCCATGCTGCAGGGCCAGTTGGGCTAGCAGTGCTGTGGGGGCAGAGCCCTGCATGTGGCATCCCACGTGGACAAAAGGACCACATCCCTGCACAAGGCTGGGGCATGCAATGAGATGAAATGGTGGTTCTAGAGACAGCTGATTGCACTAGAATCCGTACAGATCTGCCTCTCTACCTGAGACCCACCTAAACAGAGGAGAGATGATACCCAGGAGAAAAATTATCCTTATGGGCTGCTTCTGACTCAGGATATTCCAAGATTCTATGAAAAAGGGAGCAACTGCACCCAGATTGGTGCTTTACCTGGCTTGTTGAGGAGGCACCGCAGTTCATACTCCACATCTGACTGTCGCTGCTCCAAGTTCTGCTGCTTGAAGCTGCAAGGGAAGGGGAACTGCTGGGAACCACTGCAAGGTTCCAGAAACGTGAAACATCATTCCAAAGTAGGGGGTGAACTTGGAAAGAACCATCAAGATGCTGATCTTTTCCTGTACATCCAGGGAGCCAAGTACAAGCAAGGACCAGCCCTGGCTGCCCAAAGCCTTCCCCAGGAAATGCTGCAGTGGCTCTGGTGACTTGGCATGGGTCGGTTCTGAGTGTATTTGGACAGATTTGTCTGCATGCCCTTTTTCCCTCCCTTCTTTAACTAAGGAGGCCCTGTCAGGATCTTCCCTGGAAGCACCATTTCAAGAGGGCTGAAAAAGAGTTCCCCAAAGAGCATCAGTGCCTCCTGCCTTGCACACACTTACATGTAGATGAGCTCTGACTCGTGGCGCACTAGCATGTGCTTCTCATGGATGAGTTTGAACCAGTCCACAAGCAGGCTGTCCTCAGGGTTGTCTGCCAAGCAAAGAGACAATTCAGAGCCATTCCCAGCCCTGATGGATCCTGTCACCCTGCAGCAGGCTGGGCTCTACCAGGCCAGGAGAGGGGCACTGGGCTAGAGCCAACCCGACCTCTGCCTCTTCCTAAGTCCCACAGAGACTTTATGTCTTCTCCCACCTGTTTCCATTCTAGGGACATCTCCACATCCAGGGTATGGCTGTGATCAGTCTTGGAGTCTAGCACAGCCTCTCGTGCACTTCCAACTCCAGCACCAGCTGGGAGGAAGTCACTGCTGCTAACTCCTTGGCTGGAGAGAGAACAGCCCTAGGGTCCATCCTGCCCCACACCCACAGACAGTTCACCCCACATACCATTCTCAGCACTGCGAAGTTTTTCCTCCAAGGCCACCCCACGGTGTTCCAGCTGGTCCAGCTGGTGCTCTATGGCATCCATTTCCCCATAGATGTCTTCCTCAGGGATGTACTGATCTGTCTGCACCTGCCAACCAATATATCAGAGATTTCCATTACCACCAACTTCCAGTTTCCAGGGATAACCCAAAAGCTGGTCAACACTAACAGTGGAAAGGGGACAACAGAGTATTTCCCCTAAGTGGGTATCCAAAATGCCGGATCCCCAAAATCCCGTGGTGCTCCCAACTCTGGAGCAAAGGGAGACCACAATGCTGTCATGAACAGGGTCTAGCCTACACACCATCCTCCTCAGCTCCAGCTGCAATCCCTGCCCACACATGCATCAGCAGGATGCATGTATACTGCTACGGCCCTGGGAGATAGCACAGAGCTGGCTTTTCCCTCCCTGCTCCTGAGGGCCCTTTTACCTTGCGTTTGATCAGTGGGAAGCCGTGACCTGGTGCAGGAGGACGCACTGGCTTGGAGCCCTTGGGAGGTTTCTTTGCTGAGGGGGAGGCGGCAGGTGACGGCTTCCGGTTGAAGGGGTTCTCTTTGCAGGAAGACTGGAGAGGGGGTCAAAAAGTGATACATGAGTGTCCAGGAAAGGAAAGGGATACAGCATCTCAACAGCTGGCAATGAGCAGACAGGGTGGCCCTAGGGTTTGTCCCCACACACACCCTCCTCAAGGAGGAACACAGCACTCATCTCCACCAGCAGCCTAGCCATGGGGCAAAAAACCAGCCATGCTCCTTTTTGGCAACAGTTCCCCAGCTTCTCTCTAACAGGCACACTGAATTGTTTTACTTCATGGTTCCCTTCTCATTTGCTCTAATCACATGACATTCTGTCTCTTCTCTAGCACATGCAGCAGGCAGAGTACAAGCAGAGCCATGATTTAACAAACACACACCTGAAGCTTTTGGGGGGGTCGCACATCAAACCCACCAAAGGGGAAAACCTGGACTCACAGTCCCCTTGTGACCGAATGATGGATGGGGAAGAAAACCCCTCTGATTTGGATGGGAGAAAGGTCACCACCTCACCTTCAGATGTGGTTTGGGTGAGGAGGATGTCTCAGGGCTCCCAGCACCCCCATCTGCTGCCAAGAGGATGGGTGTAGGGCTAGCCCCAGCAGGAGGCTTGGGGGGCAGCCGGCTGGGGCTGGTCTTTAAGCTGCCAGTGGAGATGCTTCTGCTGGAGTGTGGGGTGCTGGGCTGCATCTCCCCACTGAAGTTGGCCAGCTCACTGGAGGAGGAGAAGGAGGAGTTTGTGGAGAGGCTGGCTGGGACAGCAGGACTTTCATTGGAGGAGACGCTGGCCAGCGGCGTATCAGCGCTAGAGGTCTTGGTGGCTGTCGGCGTGTGGACAGTGGGCTCAGAGGAGCTTTTGGGCACTGAAGCCTCATCGGTGTCTCCCAGCACCTTGGCTGAACTCTCAGAGTTGATGCTCTCGAGGCTGAGGGCTGGAGATGGAGTGGAGGATGATGGCTCAGAGTGTGACAGCCTGGAGATGGGGTGGTGGGCTGCAAAGCAAAGGGAGAGCTCAGGGAGGAATGAAGGGACAGCCAGGAGAGGAGGGGAGGATGGTATGCACTGGGGACAGGGGTCAGTGCAAAGGCCTTGCCTGCAAATGCTGTGCTTCATTGGGTAGAGAGGACATAGCTAATGCAAGTTTTAGCACAACCATCACTGCATAAAGGCACGGCCTGCCAGGATGATGCAGAGGCACCTGGGAAGGGGAAGCCTCCAACAGGAAGCACAAGGATTGCAGAGGAGGGATAAGGGAGCAGGGGGAAGCTCACCTAGCGGGGAAGCATTGGGGGCTCGTGGAGCTGGCCGCTTCTTTGCCTTTGGGCTGCTGGTGGGAGTGATGCCATACCAGGGGTGGAGAGGCTTGGAGGCAGTCTCACTCTGCTCCTGCTCAGGTGTGTTCTTTTGGGTGTCAGCACTCTCCTCTTCCTCCTCATCCTCCTCCTCAAAGGGGTTGTATGGTTTCGGCTCTGTGGCATCAGACGTGCTCTCCTCACTCCTGGCTTTCCCCACCTCCTCCCCATCCTCCTCCTCTGAAGTCCTACTTGGAGTCTCATGGCTGTTGCTTGGGGGAGGAGGGGGAGCTGGCTTCTTCTTGGGCTCTGCTTGCACTAAGGCCATCCATGGTGGGTCCTTGGCTCTTGCAGCAGTTCCAGCACTGGGAGAAGAGAAAGAGAGACCAAGGTGGCAGGCAGCAGAGACCAGGTGAGACAGCAAGGTACTGGAGAGGGACTTAGCCCTTGGGGGAAAGGACAAATGGAGCAGGATGTCTCCCATGCAGAAGCAGCTTTCTTGTCCAAGGGTGGCCCTAGTCTACCCCAGACACACTGTCTCATTCTCTGCGGGCAAACCTATGGGCCTGAGGGAAGCACAGCCTGCCTGACTTGCCTGCTGGGCCCAGTGTTTTGGTTTCTGAATATTACAGCTTCCATCTGCTAAGCAGTGGTAAAGCCCGAGCTTTATGGGCACAGCTGGTTTCCTACCCCCAGCTCTGCTCCTCAAGCTGTGGACAGGAGGGCAGGTGAGATCAGATATCTGCCCTCTGTGGTCATGCTCCTTTCCTATACTTCAGAGGGCTGTTCATCACCTTATCATCTGAGAGTCCCAGAGACACATTCTTCTTTGCTAACTCCTTTGGCTGAAAACACTACTGGGGGCACAGCCCACACCATGGCTCAGTGAATCACTGCTGGTCAGGAAAGCAGCTGTCACTTGCTGCACGCATCTACTCCTTGACCCTTGCAAATGCAGGGCACTTGTGCAACCTCTGTCCCAAGGGCAGGCAACAATGAACCAACACCAGTGGGCTCCTCAGTAAGAGCCCAGGAGGTGCAAAGCTTGTAGCCAGGCACTCACCACGACCCTGCACTGGATCTCCCCAAGGCAGAAAATTGTCCCCTTCTCAACACCCAGAAGCAGGGTCACTTCAGAAGGCACTTGGCAATCTGCATGTGCCACATAAACAACTTTCTGAAGCACTCAAACTTTACAAACCATAAGAAATAAAGGCCCTGGGAGGTGTGGACAAACACTATCTGCCTGACAGTGGGCTGGAACCCATTAGATAAGGGAAGGGACCTGGTCAAAACCTACATCCTCCTAAGAGCAGAGGTTGATGGAGGTGGGAAAGAAAACCACAGCTGTGCTGTGCCTATAGCCCCCCCACCTTGCTATGGAGTTTTCAGGTGATCTGCAAAGAGGACGTACCGATCAGAGGAGCAGGGTCTTCCTCGAGGTTTTGGGACAGGAGGGCCGGGTTCAGGTACCTTACCTAGAAAGACAGAGGGTCAGACGGTCAAAACACCAAAAGGGCATGAAGAAAGAGGTTAAATCAACACAAGGCACCTCTAACACATCTTCCCATGGGAGAGGGGCTATTCCCACTCTCTGAAGACCTCACGGCATTTCTCCCACAGCTGGTGCAGCCAGCTAACTCCAAATATCCCTTTTGACTTTTTCTCCCCACTTCAACCAGGGACCTGCATCTGGAGAACTGACATGTCCCTCTGTCCCCACACCTGCAAACTGCTCTACCAGTGCCACCTTCCCTCCACACTGGCAGCAACCTCAGGAGAGCTCTGGAGAAACATAAAGGAGCAGGCAGACACAAAACCTAGCACTGCCCTCCCCACTACGGGGACGGCTGGCAATGGCTGGCAATCAAAGGCTCGTGTCTGAGCCTGAGATTTGGAGGCAGAAGAGTGTTAAGCTGCAGAGAAGGAATGAAACTCATCCAACCTGCAGCCAACCACCTCAACTGCTGGGGATGTGGAGAGTAACCCCTGCTACCACTGTGCTCTCTTACCATTCACCATGCCAGGCCCACACTCACTGCCCTCGCCTTGGAGAGTGGACCTGGGCCGGGGCACGGGGTGAGAGGCTGGAGGGGACAGGGCTGATGCATCCGTGGCCTTCCTTGGGGCAGGCGTGGGACGCGAGTCTCTGAGCCGTCCATCCAGCGAGCTGACTTTGTCCTGGCTGAGCACTGTGGGCTTGCTGGGGAGGGGAGGTCTGGGGGGAGTTTCGGAGACAGGCGCCCCACTGCCTAGGTGAGCAGGGGGCATCACTGTCTCTGCTTTGCTGGGTGTGCTGTCCTTTGCTGGGCCCTCTGCAGGTGTACGGGTCTCTGCCATGCTCTCCAGGGAGTCGCTGTTGTCCTTCCCCACCTCTGCGCCTGCAGGGAGGGCATCCTCTCCCATGCTGTCAGCCCCAGTTTCAGTTCTTGGCTCTGGTGACTGTTGAGCTGGGCTGGGCCTCCTCTCTGCCTTCCCACTCATGGCCAGTTTACCACGATGCTGCATGCAGACAAAAGTCCCTGCCTCTGATCCAGGCTTGTATGACCCTGGGAGCAGAGTGCTGGAGCACTCCTTACACCTGCCAATGAGAAGAGAGAGCCCTATGAGATGAGGGATGCCATCCTGCCCCTCAGGGAAGGCAGTGTACCTGGGAAATCCTTGCAGGGACATGGAATTAGTTCCCACTCCTGCTACTAAATCTCACTGTGAACTTGGGGAAGTCACTGGTGAAGGAAGAGGAATAAAGAAATGTCACTATGCCACTGTATGAACCCACGGGGAGTTCACAACTCAAATACTGTGTGCATTTGGGGTCCTTCAGCTCAGAAAGGACTTAATAGACGTGGAATACAACAGATGATATTCGGGATATGGAGTGACTGCCAAACGTGGATGGGGGAGAGGGATCAACCATTCATAGACATGAAACAGGAAGTATCAACTGGAATTAGGGAGCAGCTGGTTCAGAACCGGAACAGGGAGGCTATGGGCTGCCTTGCAGGGGCCAAGGCTCCAGGCAGGTTAACGAACCATCAGACACGTTTGTAAAACAAAACCCCCCAAACTTCAATTGTTAAATAAAATTACACCACTTCAACTCAGGAAATTCCTACACTGGAGGCTTCAAGAGCGGTCAGGAGAAGCAGTGTGCAAGCCTAGACTGGTCTCATGCTCACCCTCACTGATGCTGATCATAGCACCCACCAGGGTCACAGCTGGAAGGACAAGGGAATTATGCAGTAGGGCTGTTCTTACGCACTGCCTTGCCCGTTGAAATTGGGCTAATAACCACTTCAACTCAGGAAATTCCTACACTGGAGGCTTCAAGAGCGGTCAGGAGAAGCAGTGTGCAAGCCTAGACTGGTCTCATGCTCACCCTCACTGATGCTGATCATAGCACCCACCAGGGTCACAGCTGGAAGGACAAGGGAATTATGCAGTAGGGCTGTTCTTACGCACTGCCTTGCCCGTTGAAATTGGGCTAATAGCCTTCTGCCACATC